CAGTGTGTGTGTGTGTGTGTGTGTGTGTGTGTGTGTGTGTGTGTGTGTGTATCTATATAGATAGATATAGATATAGATATATATACACATATACATATATAGGTATATAGATATACTATTTTACTGTATGTTACAAAACCCCCTTCACAGAGGTTGTAACATTATTCATTCCCATTTCTTTCCAAGGATAGTGTCAGCTGATATCTAGTTCAATATACTTAAAGTTATAAATGCTTATGCTGACAAAGATTTTATCTTTTATAAATGGTAGCCCTGAAAGCAATTACCTGTTATGTAGCCAGTTAGTATGTCTTGGATAATTGACTGATTTTGTATTTATTGGTTTAAATTATTGTTATTTTCATAAATGTATATTTATGCATATGTAAATATTAACTACTACAATCCAAATTAAATTATTGGCTCAAACAGGGTCTCAGTAATATCTGTTGTTTGAGTAGTTTAAATAAAAATTCCAAGGATTTATGAGTTGATTTTATAATGTTTTAAAAATAATCATCTGAGAAATTTGTCATTAGAGGAGAGTTTTGATTCAGTTTCAGTCTCCACTGATATTTTTTTTCTCTTAAATGTGACATTGAAGTGTAATATTTCTTTATACTTTTATTAGATCGGGAAATGCCGAAGAATCTCGCCCTTGGCATTCAGTGCGATAGCTTCCTCATTGAGACTACTGCCTTCAAGCTTAGTATGGAACGCTCACATGGTACAGAATTTCTACCTTATATTCTGTTATTCTATATGCTATCACATTTTAGAGAAGTTGAACTATGTCTGATGTCTTAATAAATATTTGATAAAAATTAAATGCACCAATTAAAAATTTTGACAGATTTTAATAAGTTGATAAAAAAACATGGATAGTGTAAACTTTATGTATATTCATTTTATCTTTGCTATTTTTCTTTATATATCACATAAGTACAACTTGTAAAGTAGTTGACTATCCTACCACTTAATCCATAAGTGTGTGAGCCAAAGATGATTTTGGAAAATTAAAAATAGCTAGTGTACTAAAGTTACTCATACTTATGAAAAATAATTGCATATTTGCAAAGCTAATGATTCCCTGAAAAATTATTACAGGGTAGACATCTATTTTTACGTATATTAATCATCCCACCTTCATACTGATGAATAGGAAAAAAATCTAAGGCATAAGAAATAATTAAGTTGCTTAAAAATCAAAAGCCCCCAAAATATGAATTTCTTTAAAATGTTTTAAAATAATGTTTTTAATTGCAAAAAATCTAATAATAGTTATGTAAATATGATAAAATATTAATTATATTAACATAATGCAGAAGTAGTAACTGAAATCAATAGCCACTACTAACACCCCAATACAAATAGGTTCATGACTTTCATTTATATTTACTGTATTCATTTCTATCAGCATCCTAAATCTCATTAATTCACAACTCCATGAGGTGGGTGTTAGTATTATTGTTATTGAATCAAGGAGATTGCAATTCAACAACATTAACTTACATTGAATCAAAACAGTTGCTTAATGGAAAAGTTGAACTTCTTGTGTATTACTTCAAACTCTTCTTCTTTTATTTATTTGCAATACATTAAAAGGAGTAAAAACAAACCTTTCAAAAAAGAGGAAGTACAGATGGCCAAAGAATGAAACTATGTTCAAGATCACTAATATTTAAGTAGATGTTGATTTAAATGATAGCCTCCTAAATATCAGCCCCCCCATTATTATATACCATACTGTAGCACTAGAGAACAAGGTGCTGCTTTATAAATCTACATATGCATAAAATTCACTCTATGACCTTGGGAAGGGCAGCCAAAATACAGGGATTGGGCTTTAAACTTCTTAGTCTGGGAATTTGTGTTCTGGTTTCGACTGTACCATGGGAAACTGTATTAGCTTGAGCTATTTTCTGTACTTTCTAGACCCCATTTTGGACATTATAAAGAATGAAAAATCAGTTTTACCTAATAGGAGATTTATTTGAAGTACAAATGCAATTACTTATGTGAATACATGTCTAAGCCCTAATTTATATATAAGTATGGGTTATTAGTATTGTTTGTATAAGTGAAGATAGCTAAATACAAAGATGATTCCTGATTTTTTGTTGTTGTTGTTTTATAACAAACTAGAGACCCAGTGCACGAATTTGTGCATGGGTGGGGTCCCTTGGCCTGGCCGGTGATCAGAGCCAATTGGGGCCGTCTTGCCCAGTCCTGTTTGGGGCTGATCGGGGCCAGCCAGCTGCAGGGAGGGACTGCAGGAGGTTGGCCGGCTGTAGGAGGTTGGCTGTAGGAACGCACTGACCACCAGGGGGAAGCTTCTGCATTGAGTGTCTTCCCCCTGGTGGTCAGTGCATGTCATAGCGACCAGTTGACTGGTCATTCAATCATTTGGTCACTTAAGCTTTTATATATATACCGTAGATAAGACCTAGTACAATGCCAGTACATGCCAGGGAATATATTTCATATATTTCTGAAAAAGGAATTTAAAAATAAGTAACAATTTTTTGCTTCTGAAATTCATTTGTCATCTAGGTGAAACATTTACTAGACAAATTATTTTAATTCTGATCAATTGCTTATTGATTAAATAGTCTTGTTACCGTGGTGAATACCAGTTTTCTTGAAATGGATTTTTTACAGAACAGTAGATATCTATTTCTGTATTTATATTAAATCTATATTTTAAAGTATCCAACTTTGTAGGTATATCTATATTTTTAAAATAATCAAACCTTGTTCTTCCTTGTCATATCCCTAATTCTTTATATTCTCTATTTTATTCAATATTTTAATTTTTAAAATATCACCAAATTTCAGTTATTCATTCATATTCCACCTTTACAAATTTTGGCACACCTTTGTGTCACCTAAATGATTATTTACTTAATAGTCTTTTAATGGAAAACAGTGTTACTTGCCATGAGCAATAGCAATGTACTGTTTGCCAGGGCCTATTTAAGCACTTTATAAATAGTAATTGATTTAGTCCTCCCAACAGTATGATAGATTCTATTAATACCCTGATGTTAGAGATGAATATACCGAGACATGTAGGAGTTAGTTCCAAGGTCACACCCCCAATATATGCTGGAGCTTGGCTTTGAATGTGGGACTTGTGCTCCTACCCAATTACTCAATACAGTCATAAATAGAAGATAGCTGTAAAACATCAATCAATAAATAATGAAATAAAAATTTTAAATATCTTCATATTTCACTCGGAAGTATTTTAATTATCACTGTTGCAAAACAGTTTTCCTGGGAAGCAGTCTCTGAGGAGGAGGTTAGTGTGCAGGACATTTATTAGGGAGTGCTCTCATGGTCTACACCACTGGGGGAAGAAAATGAAACAAGACTGAACAGAGGGAGAAGATAGGTACAGAGGTTTCAGATAAAACATGGCAAGCACTGAAATTACTATAGCTCTTCAGAGTTGCCCCAATTTGGGATGAGGAGGCCAGGATATTATAGCTTCATCCTCCCTCCCCCACTGCCCACATCAATCCATTGTTAAGTGCAGTCTACCCTGAAAAGGAGTTTCAGTGACTCTTCAGCTGAAGCCAGTTCTCACAAAGCGCTGATATCTAGGTACTGTATGCTGGCCATAATCTCGATAGCTTGGCATATGAAGTCATGAAGATATATCCCTCTTTTTACTAGAAGTATTATTTACTTTTCCTGATACATACCTCAATAATTATAAATATGGTGACATGTAGGAGTCAAGGGCCATTTTATTCATTATATATACCAGATCATCCTAGCACCTTTTATAGAAAAGGCATCCTGTCCTTCATTGAATTACAGTAACACTTTTCTCCCAAATCCAGTGACAGTATGTTTATGAGTCTGTTTCTGGACTCTCTCTTCAGTTCCAGTTGTTTATTCTTCTGTCTTTGCAATAATATCATACTGTCTTAACTATTACAACTATATGATAAGTCTGGATGTGGTAACATAAGTCTTCAAAAATGTTCCTGGTCTTTAACATTTTCTTAGTTATTCTAGATCCTTTGCACTTTCATGAGTTTTAGAATTTCTAGATAAACCCCTGCTAGGACTTTAATTTGAATTGTATTGGAACTATACATTGATATGGGGGCAACTAGCATCTGAGAAATATTGAGCTATTGAGTCTTTTAATCTAAGAACATGGTACCTCCCTCCATTTATCCAAGTGGCTTTCTTTATTCCAGATTTATTCTAAAGCCCATATTATCTCCCTGATTTGATATGTCAACATTGTCATGACTACACTGCCATATATACTTGGGTTCTTTCTGGGTTATCTCTACTATTCCACTAAACCTGTCTTAAAGACCAAAACTACACTGTCTTTTGGTCTTTAAGGCTTTTTGGTCAGAGGCTTTATAATGTGCCTTAATATGTGTGTAAGGATACCTCTTTCACATTACATTCTCTTTTCAGAGTTTTATTGGCTATTCTCCCCTGTTTCTTTATCCATATGAACTTTATACTAAACTTGACTACTTTTGGAAAGAAACCTGATAGAATATTTATTAGGGTTATTTAAAATTTAAATTATAACTA